TTCATCCAGTATTGAGGCCAAGGTAGTGTTGTATTGAGCCACACAGTCAGTAACTGGCAGGTTGGAGATGTATTCAGTAAGCTGGGATGTGTTTATAGTTTTGAGACTCCTAAACTGAATGGAGTGTTTCTTGGTCTGAGTGGGTAGAAGAATAGCAAGGGTGAAGGTGATGAGTTTGTGGTTGGACAGCCCTGACACATTTCCATCCAGTTTGGCCAGATCCACGCCTGTGGTACAGACCAGGTCCAGTGTATGGCCTTTGTTGTGGGTGGAAAAGTCCACATGCTGTTGGAGTCCAAAGTTGTCCAGGCCAGTAGAGAGACTGCTGTCAGGGGAGTCGACATGTGTGTTGAAATCACCAAGCACTAGCATAGCAGGGCACAAGGGGCTCAGGAGTGTTAGTAGCTCAGTTAGTTCAGAAAGAAAGAAGAGTTGAGCTTAGGAGGCCGATAAATCAGCACAGTACTGATGTGGAGCCAGTGATCTTGAAGGCCATGCATTCAAAAGATGAGACAGCTGGTACTGGAGTAGATTTCACAATACAGTCAGTCCTGTAGATTACAGCCAATCCACCACCCCGTCCGGATGTGCGAGGACAGTCCAGGTAAGTGTAGCCAGATGGAGTGCATTGGTTGAGGGATATGTACTCATTGGATTGATGCCAAGTCTCAGTGAGGCAGAAAAAGTCTAGACCTTTATCAGTGATGATATCAATCAGCAGTAAGCCCTTGTTTACGGATAATTTAAAAGACCCAGTTGAATTACTTGTTGAATTACTTTGGGAGTTGCCTGATGGGCGGCCTGCAGAACTGGCAAGTGTCCTTTATCATCCTTCTCATGTGTTCATTTTGTACTGCACTCATTGGGAGTGCACATAATAGACTTTAATTTGTTTAATAGTCTCGTACTGCCATGTCGTCTGCATTTTTTTTCGTAGGATCCCCTATTGATGAGGCTTTTCTTGAGCTCCTTACACAGAGTCTGTGTAAAACTTCTGAGTAATCCTACTGTATAATGAAGAAAGGTTGCTGCCATTTCTGTATCTTTTGAGATGAAGATCTAGCTAGGCTGGTAATTGAATTCAAACAATTAGCTAGTTGATTGAAGAAGATGGAGAAGTAGCCAAATATGATAGATAATTTAACAATGATTTAAAAAACTAGATTCCTGTGTTCTATACTTGACAAGCTATTAAAAAAACAGTTGTTAAAAACAATGCACATTAAAAACACTTAAAACAAATAATTATGGATAATTTTGCAGGAGTAAACTACCAAGGATGCCACTAGGTTCCATGGCAACCATGGGACATCAACATGGTTTGTACTTACTTTTAGGGATACAATGTACACAATCAAGCACATACATCACGTTGTTTCAAATGAATCTATAAGTACAATTATACTAAAAACCAGCACAAAACATTTAGTTATTTCCGATATAACACTTTTTAATTTCTTACCCCACACACAATTCCTGCATTGTCAACAAAACTCATATGTTCCTTCTGTCACAGTACATGTATAAGTCAGAGCCTTGTTTTGTCCCAGCTTGCGCAAACAATACCAAACGAAAATTGCCCATTTAAGTGCCGGTCCCCGAAATAGATTTTCTGTTGGTGGAATAAGGCTGTTTGAATGGACCTCTCTATCGGCATCTTCTAGTGCTGTATTTATTGTTTGTTTTGGGTAGGTTCTTTTTTTCAAGCAGGAACCTATTACTGGCTCGTAAGTACTTCAGTTTTGCTTGGTCGGTAGCTAGGTCATCGTTGGCCAATTAATTGAGAAACCCCCCCTGAGCATTCAGATTCCCCCAACACTGTAGCAGGACAAATAGAGAGTGAGCTGAGAAACAATAGCCTCATTTATATGGAAAAGAGGTTTCTTCTTTGAGCATTAAAAAGCAAGATTATTTCCCAAACCATACAGTGGGGAGAACAAGTATTTGATACACTGCCGATTTTGCAGGTTTTCCTACTTACAAAGCATGTAGAGGTCTGTAATTTTTATCATAGGTACACTTCAACTGTGAGAGACTGAATCTAAAACAAAAATCCAGAAAATGACATTGTATGATTTTTAAGTAATTAATTTGCATTTTATTGCATGACATAAGTATTTGATCACCTACCAACCAGTAAGAATTCCGGCTCTCACAGACCTGTTAGTTTTTCTTTAAGAAGCCCTCCTGTTCTCCACTCATTACCTGTATTAACTGCACCTGTTTGAACTCGTTACCTGTATAAAAGACACCTGTCCACACACTCAATCAAACAGACTCCAACCTCTCCACAATGGCCAAGACCAGAGAGCTGTGTAAGGACATCAGGGATAAAATTGTAGACCTGCACAAGGCTGGGATGAGCTACAGGACAATAGGCAAGCAGCTTGGTGAGAAGGCAACAACTGTTGGTGCAATTATTAGAAAATGGAAGAAGTTCAAGATGACGGTCAATCACCCTCGGTCTGGGGCTCCATGCAAGATCTCACCTCGTGGGGCATCAATGATCATGAGGAAGGTGAGGGATCAGCCCAGAACTACACGGCAGGACCTGGTCAATGACCTGAAGAGCGCTGGGACCACAGTCTCAAAGAAAACCATTAGTAACACACTACGCCGTCATGGATTAAAATCCTGCAGCGCACGCAAGGTCCCCCTGCTCAAGCCAGCGCATGTCCAGGCCAGTCTGAAGTTTGCCAATGACCATCTGGATGATCCAGAGGAGGAATGGGAGAAGGTCATATGGACTGATGAGACAAAAATATAACTTTTTGGTCTAAACTCCACTCGCCGTGTTTGGAGGAAGAAGAAGGATGAGTACAACCCCAAGAACACCATCCCAATCGTGAAGCATGGAGGTGGAAACATCATTATTTGGGGATGCTTTTCTGCAAAGGGGACAGGATGACTGCACCGTATTGAGGGGAGGATGGATGGGGCCATGTATCGCGAGATCTTGGCCAACAACCTCCTTCCCTCAGTAAGAGCATTGAAGATGGGTCGTGGCTGGGTCTTCCAGCATGACAACGACCCGAAACACACAGCCAGGGCAACTATGGAGTGGCTCCGTAAGAAGCATCTCAAGGTCCTGGAGTGGCCTAGCCAGTCTCCAGACCTGAACCCAATAGAAAATCTTTGGAGGGAGCTGAAAGTCCGTATTGCTCAGCGACAGCCCCGAAACCTAAAGGATCTGGAGAAGGTCTGTATGGAGTGGGCCAAAATCCCTGCTGCAGTGTGTGCAAACCTGGTCAAGACCTACAGGAAACGTATGATCTCTGTAATTGCAAAAAAAGGTATCTGTACCAAATATTAAGTTCTGCTTTTCTGATGTATCAAATACTTATGTCATGCAATAAAATGCAAATTAATTACTTAAAAATCATACAATGTGATTTTCTGGACTTTTGTTTTAGATTCCGTCTCTCACAGTTGAAGTGTACCTATGATTAAAATTACAGACCTCTACATGTTTTGTAAGTAGGAAAACCTGCAAAATCGGCAGTGTATCAAATACTTGTTCTCCCCACTGTATATATATATTTTTAAACGTGATGGTACATTCACTAACTGGTTGTCAAGTGCAATTGTAGGCGTTCTCTGGTCGTTAGTTCTATTCGTATTGACTGCCATGTAAAGCGAAACTACCCAAGCACTGGTCGATGGTTCCGGAACTTTGCAGGTTGCGATGTCAAACAAAAACATAACACATGGCCTCATGCATTATTGCTTAATTGATTGCCATCCACTATATCATTTTAAGATATAGGCTAGACCTTATTTAAGAAGTCTGAGAAAATATTGCACATGAACACGTAAATTATCAAGGCACTGGACAAAATTAGAGACAAGGCAAACAAGAACCCAGTCAAAAAACCCTAGTCGTTTTCTTTTTTGTTTTATCATGGGCTGGAGCTCTTCATATGACATTGTGTGGTGTTGACTGTGTTTGTTGTGTGTTCTGTTTGTTGCTGTTAATTTGTGTGTTAAAACTCAATAAAAATTCTAATCATTAAAAAAAAACTGTCCAGTCAAGCACTGAGAAACAAATGTGAGCCTTTATTGGAATGTTGCAAGGCATTAAATACACAAATCCCACCTTTTTTAATAATTTGGCATTTAATTAAAAAAAGGCTAACAATACTGGTCCTACAGTCATTCACTTTCAATTTCATCATTATTTCATGAATAGAGTTCTCCTTTCTTTCACTGCAATATAGAAAAGGAAATCTGGCATGGTCGAAAGTAAAAGCAGAGAGGTGTGTTAATGTAGAATTAAAGGGGGAATAGCAAGGACAGACATGGGTAGAATGAGGGAGAGACATGAAAGTTTTCTAACTTTAAAACATACTGTGTATCAAAGCTGCATTGTGGGTTAAAACGGTCACTTGCTGATACTGGTATGCATTTATTCCCCTGATATCCCAAGTTTTACATATAAAAAAACCTTTGTATGAAATATAAACAAGCTCTTGCTGTGATACATATAGTGAAGTGCATTTGAAGCAGAAAAAAAGTATTATAATAAAGACATTAATATGTTCTATAACCTTGCCATGATCTACGATATCTCGAGTTGCCAGATATTCCCTGGACTCAAGTTCTACAAACATAAATAATGTTTTATGACTTCTGGTTTTATTATCATTTATCATCAATGTTATTGTCGTCATCATCATCATCATCACCATCATCAAATCCCCCACCACCCCACCATCATCAAGCTTTCAGCATGTTACTCGACAGATCCGGAAATGATCTTTTATAGTTTTGGTTTAGAAACCATATTTCCCTCATTTTGGAAAACAAAACAAAAAAATGAACATTTCCCCCAAGAAAATTCAAGCCGGACTGTGTTTGGGTCTGGTCTCTTTTTTTCCTTTTCAAAAATTATTTATCGCCTCTCGTTCTGTACATCCAAAATGAACGAGCAATTAAAAATTGCAACCGCACCAACCCTGACCCGCTGCCCCCCCTCCCATGACCACCCCCTACCCTTCCAACCCAACCCACCCGGTCTAACCATTAGATATTGGACGGCCACAGTTAAGACATGACTCCGAACACGGGGTTGTGACGACAGATGCTGGGCCCGATCTCCTCATAGTCCTTTTTGGTGTGGCATACCTGGTAGAACTCAGGCTAGAAAAGAGAAAGCAATGTGTTGACATTTGGCATATTTGAATAAAAGAGAAAAAAAACAAAAAAACGTTGAAAACAAACGATCTTAAAGACATTACAAAACAAGAGTCAAAGCGAGTGGGTTTGGGTTTTTCTTCCTTAAAAAAAAAAAAAAATCTTAAAAAGAGATGTTTAAGATGCCCATCTCTTCCATACAAACCAAAGAACATTACGTTAGAAAAAAATAGATCTACAGTGTATGTCCTTATTAACTTAAGCCTAAAAGCATTTAAATGCTGTGCTGTAAAACGTCAGTGATGACACAACCCACTTTACGGTCACATCCTACAGTACTGGAGCATTTAAACGTCAGTGATGACACAACCCACTTTACGGTCACATCCTACAGTACTGGAGCATTTAAACGTCAGTGATGACACAACCCACTTTACGGTCACATCCTACAGTACTGGAGCATTTAAACGTCAGTGATGACACAACCCACTTTACGGTCACATCCTACAGTCCTGGAGCATTTAAACGTCAGTGATGACACAACCCACTTTACGGTCACATCCTACAGTACTGGAGCATTTAAACGTCAGTGATGACACAACCCACTTTACGGTCACATCCTACAGTACTGGAGATCCTGTTCTAAAAAGATGTTATTCAGTTGACTCATCATGAGTAATGCAATGTTGTAAACTCGCGACACTCACAATGAACATTATCAATGGATGCCCCTGAATTCATTATGGACTATTCCCTTTTACATTGGAATTATTCACAATTACCTTGGCATTTCAAATCGGGTTACAAGGAAACTGGAAGATAGTATGCCCTTAGAGTAAACACTAAATGGCAGTAATCATTCTGAAAATGCAAATCACTGATATAATTCAGCTAAAGTGCTGACAGTAACCTTTCATTGCATCATCTTGGACTACATTCTAGGGAGGCAAGTTATGCAGATGGCACATAAAATAATGACATTTTCTGAATGACATTTCAAATCAAATTGTTTTACTATGTTAGATGTATCCTTATATGAAATTTGTTCCAAAGTACACTACATAATTTCTACAATTCCACTTATAATACAGTTTTCCCCCACATAATGGAGGAACAGAATAGCAATACTTACAGTTGAGGCTAACATGGATCCTCCGAACCACACTGCATATCTCTGCATATGATGAGTGATGACTTGCACATCAATTGGTTTGGGCTGAGAAGGAAAAAGCAAAAACCAGAAATAAATAGATGTTAGGGTTTTGTCTGGATCAAAAAGGGGCTAAGGTGGTGGGCGTGGCAATGGGTGCGGTCGGCACGGCTGAATTTTAGAGAACATTTTAGCGGCCTCCATCTTGGCGGTGTAAAGCCAATTTCCTGCAATTCTACAAATTCCTCCAAGGAGCTGAGAGAAATTGTTGTCGTTTTAAAGCTAATTTCCTGCAATTCTACACATTTTGCCATGGCTAATGCAGTGTTCTTTTCCTCAAACATAACAAAATCAATATTACTAAATACATTGTTTTTACATTTTTAATTCCCCGATGACTGTGTAGCTTTTATTTGAGTGATTGTTAGTTCTCATAGATTACGTTATAAAAAAAATGTATAGGTCCATTATCTTTTTTACATACAGTGCATTCGGAAAGTATTCAGAGCCCTTGACTTTCCACATTGTTACGTTACAGCCTTATTCTAAATTTGATTAAATTGGGTTTATTCCTCTATCTACACACAATACCCCATAATGAAAAAGCAAAAAGTTTTTTTGAAATGTTTGCAAATGTATTAAAAATAAAAAACTGAAAAATCACATTTACATAAGTATTCAGACCATTTACTCAGTATTTTGTTGAAGCACCTTTGGCAGCTATTAAAGCCTCGAGTCTTCTTGGGTATTACGCTACAAGCTTGGCACACCTATATTTGGGGAGTTTCTCCCATTCTCCTCTGCAGATCCTCTCAAGCTCTGTCAGGTTGGATGAGGAGTGTCGCTTCACAGCTATATTCAGGGTCTCTCCAGAGATGTTTGATCGGGTTCAAGTGCGGGCTCTGGCTGTGCCACTCAAGGACATTCAGAGACTTGTCCCGAAGCCACTCCTGAGTTGTCTTGGCTGTGTGCTTAAGGTCGTTGTCCTGTTGGAAGGTGAACCTTTGATCCCACTCTGAGGTCCTGAGCGCTCTGGAGCAGGTTTTCATCAAGGATCTCTCTGTACTTTGCTCCGTTCATCTTTCCCTCGATCCTGACTAGTCTCCCTGCCGCTGAAAAACATCCCCACAGCATGATGCTGCCACCACGCTTCACCGTAGGGATGGTGCCAGGTTTCCTCCAGAAGTAACGCTTGGCATTCAGGCCAAATAGTTCAATCTTGGTTTCATAAGACCAGAGAATCTTATTTCTCATCGTCTGAGAGTCCTTTAGGTGCCTTTTTGCAAACTCCAAGCGGCCTGTCATGTGCCTTTTATTGAGGATTGGCTTCCGTTTGGCCACTCTACCATAAAGGCCTGATTGGTGGAGTGCTGCAGAGATGGTTGTCCTTCTGGAAGGTTCTCCCATCTCCAAAGAGGAACTCTGGAGCTCTGTCAGAGTGACCATCGGGTTCTTGGTCTCCCCAGATTGCTCAGTTTGGCCGGGCGGCTAGCTCTAGGAAGAGTCTTGGTGGTTCCAAACTTCTTTGTTTTAAGAATGATGGAGGCCACTGTTCTTGGGGACCTTCAATGCTGCAGAAATTTTTTGGTACCCTTCCCCAGATCTGTGCCTAGACACAATCCTGTCTCGGAGCTCTACGGATAATTCCTTCGACCTCATGGCTTGGTTTTTGCTCTGACATTCACTGTCAACTGTGAGACCTTATATAGACAGGTGTGTGCCTTTCCAAATCATGTCCAATCAATTGAATTTACCACAGGTGGACTCCAAGTTGTAGAAACATCAAAGATGATCAATGGAAACAGGATGCACCTGAGCTCAATTTCGAGTCTCATAGCAAAGAGTCTGAATACTTAACGTAAATAAGGAATTTGTTTTATATTTTTGATAAATTAGCAAAAATGTAGACAAACCGGTTTTCGCTTTCTTGTTATGGGGTATTGTGTGTAGACTGATGAGGATTTTTATTTATTTAATCCATTTTAGAATAAGGCAGTAATGTAACAAAATGTGGAAAAAGGGAAGGGGTCTGAAAACTTTCAGAATGCACTGTACTTATAATCTGGTTTTAGTAGTTTAAGTTTACACTGAAAGCGTAAGGTCCAATGCAGCACTTTTTATCTCAATATCAAATAATTTCTGGGTAACAATTAATTACCTTACCTCTGACTGTTTTCAATTAAAAGGGTCAGAAAGAAACAAAAATAGTTTGTTAGCAAAGAGCTATTTTTTTCTAGGACTTTCTGGGAGTGGTCTAAGTGGTGTGGGGAAAACTAGCCGTTATTGGCAGAGGTTTGAAACTCTTTCTTATTGGTCTATTAACTAAGTCTTTTCAAACAGCTCTTACATTAAAAAGAGCATTTTCACAGTATTATTCCAACCTCATAGTGTGGAAATATATTAAAACAAAGAAAATCAAGTTGACTGCACTGGGCCTTTAAAAAAAAAAAAATATGCTTACACTGTTTGGACGTAGGCTTCACAAAAAAACACTTAGGTGGCCTTCCCAAGGATTTCAATGGCACGTCAGGTGTTGTGCAGAGCATGCCGTGCTCCGATTGCTACTTCACGGGGTAACACTACAAACCTGTTTCAGCACTTAAAAAAATACCACAAATCAATGCATGACAGTTGTATGACCAAAATGCCGAGCATCAGTGCGCGAGACAAGCCAAATACCTCAAGACAGGGATCACTGACAGAAATGTTCGAAAGTGTCACTCCGTATGAACGTAATTCAAAACGGCACGGAGAAATCACTCGGACAATAACCGAGTTCATAGCCAAAGATATGATGCCTCTCAGTCGCAGAGGCAGAGATAAACAATTACCTGATGACTCCTACCATTGATGGAGAAGATGATCCATTGGCTTGGTGGAGGGTGCACAAGATCAGCTACCCACAGTTGTGCACCATGGCACGCAAGTATCTTTGTGTACCTGCTACAAGCGCTCCCTCAGAGCGTCTTTTTAGCACAGGAGGGAATATTGTGACTTGCACTCGCTCATCCTTGAAGCCAGAAAAAGTCAATATTCTGGTTTTCTTAGCAAAAAACCTGTGAGCCACTGAGAACAGAACTGTTGGATAAGTATGGCTGGCAGTGCCATACTCGTAGTGAACTTTAGTCTGTGTGGTGTGTTATTGTTGTGTACTTGAGATAAGTGAGGCTCATCTATTTTATATTATAATATTCAAATCGTTTATAAAAAATAGTTTGTCTAAATTAAAAGTGCATTTCTCATTTTTTATTTATAACTTTATTTACTTTGATTTTACAAAATATTTTCAAAGCAAATTCCTTGTTTCAGTTGTGTGAAATGTTACTGACTTGGGAGCAGTAAGATACATACAATTTAAAATTATTTTTTTCTTAAGACTGTACCTTTTGCACACAGTGTTTACAAAGTTCATGCCTTTGTTTAAATTATTTAAATGCACAGTGGCAAAGCCACAGATGTTTCTGTAATGAGCAGTTCAATAAAAATGTCATTTATTTCAAGTCATACATGTTTGAATTTAATTCTGCAGCAAATCCCTGGATGATACATTGTCTCTGCCAAACTGTAGCTGGTTACAGGCTCTGACTAATAACAGCAGGGATTCAGAGCTTGACGGGACCACTTCTGTAAGGAAACAGGAACAGCTCTAGTAAGGTTACCATGACTAGGTAATGCTCTCACCTTGAGCTTGCCCCCACTCAGCTCCTCACTCATCTTCAGCCTGGCGTCCACAGTCCTCTTCAGGTCCCATCTGCAGGCGCCGCCCAAAGTCCCTGAACATGGTGGAACCTCCTGACAGGACAATGTTCTGGAGAGGAACACAGGGGGACGAGTCAGACATTGTGACTAATAAAGACACTGGTTAACACATGCACTAACACACAAAACGGGGTTCAACTTGCGCGCACAGAACATTTTAAAATATTGAAAGGAGTTGCGGACCAGAGAGCTGATAAGTCTGTTCAAGTCAAACCCAAAATGCTTATTGGATATTAATGGGATGTGTTTTTTTAACCAAGATCTATGTAGTTCCAGGGATATGATTACCTTGTAAAGAGGACGTCTGACATCAATGGGGCAGTTCTGGATAACCTCGTCCACAACTTCGGAGATGGGCTGGGTGAAGTCAGGATTGGCAAACTGGAGATTGAGGAAGAGTGAAGGGAGAAGAAAAGCGTGAGAGAAAGAGTTTATAATTGTATACACACCCACGTTCACAGAAATCTCAAAGAATATCTTAACCATTTTAAAGATGTCTATCTCCATCATTCACTATGGCTTCTGCAGACCTGAACAACTCCTCTTCTGCCTGTAATTTGTGATTATAGGTCATCTGTACTTCAGTGTAGGACAGGGTTCCCCAACTGCCCCCCCCAAAAAATATATATATTTAAAAATGTTTATTGTTGAATATAAGACTGTAAAAACACCAGCAAATCAGCTCCAAGATATTTACATTTTGGAAATCTGTTTCAAAGTATTCCCACGCATAAAAGAGATACAGGTAACTGCCAAAATAAAAAAAACACCAAAATAAAGTGTCTTAATAGGGCGAGCCAGAACAGCTTCAATGCACCTTGGCATAGATTCTACAAGTGTCTGGAACTCCATTGGAGGGATGCAACACCATTATTCCATGGGAAATTCTACCATTTAATGTTTTGTTGATGGTGGTGGAAAACGCAGTCTCAGGCGCCGCTCCAGAATCTCCCATAAGTGATCAATTGGGATGAGATCTGGTGACAGGCGGCCATGGCATATGGTTTACATTGTTTTCATGCTCATCAAAACATTCAGTGATCATTTGTGCCCTGTGGATGTGGGGGCATTGTCATCCTATGAGGGCATAGCCATGGTAGCCAAAATAATGCCCTGCCCATCATTTTTATACATGAACATAATGGGATGTGAACTGCTTAATTAACTCAGGAACCACACCCTGAGTGAAAGCACCTGCTTTTAAAATACTTTCCCTCGTTTCCTGTATTTTGGCAGTTAACAGTACATGTGATCATATACAAATGTAAGCCAGGTTTGAAACAATTATGTTTTAGTCAAATATTATATCTGTTTGGGCTTCTTGCGGTCAATTTGCAGTCTACAAATTATTTGTAATTATGCACCGGCCCCCTACCATCCGCTCAAGAAGAAATCGACCCGCGGCTGAATCTAGCTGATGATCCCTGATGTAGGATTACCCTACTTATGATGGTCCTTACCACACATTTTTAGCTACTGTAACCTAGGACCTAGGGGTCAGAGTTAACATTACGCTAATGCTCGATGACACTGAAGAGAACATTTCCCACTCATGGTATGCTAGTCTAATTAGCATAACGCTAACCTCTTGCTATGCTGCTGTTTAATAGCGTAGTGCTAACTGCTTACCTCTGGATGGAAGAAGATCTCAGGGCCAAGGAAGCGCTCGTAGCCCACATCGACGGTGAACTCCTTCTTGCTGATGTTGTTAATTCCGGTGTACTGCTTGATCCACTTGGAGCCGTCCGTGTCGTACTTGTTGAACTCTTTCACTAGGTCAGGACACACGTAGCTGAAACGCTCCTGGTGGAAAAAGACATGGACAAAGCGTGAGGGGATGATGAAGTACAGTGTAACTGGTTACATACTGTATGTTACATTCTGTAGGGTCAGTGTGGTCCACAGTACAAGACTTACAGAGCTGGACTGAAACTTATTTTTAAAGTTCAATAGTCATATATTTATAATTTTTAGGTGTTAGTATACATGTTTAAAGGTCTTTGATCTTGGTGAGCAACACAACTCAGGACGTAAAACATAAATCCTGACACCAGGGGCTCTTCTTCCTAAATTAAGCTGTTGTTGATTAAGTACCTGCTAGTGCTGAGCGATTAACTGACATTTCGATTACTTTTCAGTTTTAAAACAACTAATTGACCAACTTCGGTTCAATTATTTGAATCCCTTTTCGTTTGGTTTTTGTGAGCTCAATGCGCACATTGCACAGTATCTCTAGAGATCAAGCCCGAACTGTGCAATGTAGTAGGGAGTCGTAGTTTCCAACAGGCCAATATTCTACACTGTTAGTGCAGAAAACGTGGTAATTTACTTACAATGATCATAATCAATTGCTCGCCTACTTGTCCAGTCTGTGTTTCTTTTACGCGTGCTACATTAGGTTTGTGTGAGGCAGACACAGAAAGTGAGAGAATAGACAGAAGAATGCACGATCGAGAGGGATAGAGCGCATCGCCTGAAAATACATGATCTAAGTGATTGATAGTTGGTATTCAGCAGTCATAAAAGTATGCCATATTTACTTGGAAGAAATACTAAAATAGTGATTTTGTCAGACAGCATAGGCAGCAGCTCTACAGAGATGAGATGACTTGGAATGAAATAAAGTCATCAAATAAAAATAATGTACTATACACAACTGAAATATTTTATTTAAGTAATGTGATAAACAGTAATGAATGGGAAGTCACTACCATCATGGGACTTCTATTAATTGTTGTATTCTGTGTTGTTACAGCATTCAACCCACATAATGCATTTAATGTTTACATTTTTTTTAATCAAAACCGAAAACTGTGATTCTTTTTTATAATGAACCCTAATTACATTTGAAATTATTTTCTTAAGGGTTTCCAACAACACAGGACTACACTTAAACAATTCTCCAAAACACAGATTTGGGTAGATACAAATGCAAATGATCTTCAACAGTATGGCCAACAAGGATTTTAGATGAGCCTTTCAATAAACATGTATTGCTTTGGATCAAGAAGGGAAGCGAGGTGAATCACAATTGATTCTGGTGAAAACAAGAGGAGCAATTACAAGCTTAGGGTTAATGGGAACACCACACCCTTTGAAGCACCAGGGGATTGAAGTCGTCCATCTTGAAGTGTAACCGGAACAAACTATCAAAAACAGAACTGCGTCTATGTGTCCCATGTTCCAAACTACCTCACAAAAGAGAAGACTGAATATCAAGTGATGTGCTTAGCAGGAGGTATTAAACTTACCGATAGAACAATGGCTCCACCTAGTGTTCTAGCCAACAAACTACAGACAAGGTGAGAATTACACATTGTAGACATCTTAGTTTATTTATTTCTTTATCTATATTTCATTAAAAAATCTGAGTTTTGCTAGCAATGTTCATTTACTCTGTCAACTTCCCAACTTCCACTGCAAACAGTGACAAAATCTGAACTGTGTGAGTGGTGGTTGCTAGAGGAATGCTGTTGGGGCGCATACCTTCATTGAATGAAAGTGCTGGACAATAATGAGAGTGGTAGACTAGTTGTTGGAGAAAGACAAAACAGTGGGACTTCTGCCAGAGTGGTCGGTCCAGGACCCAGGACCAGAGTGACAGGTGTTATGATGCAGTAGTGCGAGTTGTGAGGAACTGTCTGACTGTTGTTATCAAGCCAAGCTAGTATGCTACTGCAATGTAGAATGAATTGTGTAAATCGCACCCGAAACAGTTCTTGTGAAAGCATGAGATATTTTGTTGAATTCTTACAAATGGCTTAGGGAACCACAACAGAGTACATTATTTCTGTGTGAAAATGTCCTAAGGCAACACAGGATCGTTTCAATTTGAAATCAACATTCTGGAAAAACCTTGCCTCAGAACCAGGGATAGGGTTAAGAATTTGGTCTAGGATTGGCTCCTTGACTGTACTATGAACACAGTGGTTGGTGAGTGGAGTGGTGGTTGACATCACCTACCTTGACTGCCTTGGCCGTCTCCAGGGACTGCTCTGGGGGGATGCCCACCTCCCGCTCCCTCAGAAGCTGCTGGGTGAAGTAGGTGATGTCACGACCCGCGATGGGGATGTGCTTTATACAGCTGCCGATGACGTAGCCCTCAGCCTATAGCAACACAAAGAGACAGATGGTTCAGAGTTCACAATGTCTAGGGTGAGGGGATGTCACAGCATATAAGAATAAATAAGTCAAAGTAGATGCACGTGTTTAAATAACGCTCATGCCAGATTCACACTATTGTGCCGAACTAAACCGTACTGTGCTGGCCTGGATATTTTCTTTTCACATTGTCCTTTCCAGCAACTACGGTGAATGTGTAGTCAAGCCAGCCCAGTACAGTTTGGTAGTGTGAAAAGGGGATCAGCGAATATATAACTGACTGTATTCTTTAAGCAACCTTGAATAGGCATCTTTTTATTTCATACATTTATTAGCATTACATGCTCACATCCTGAATTCTCCCTCAGTATTAAGTTTGGCTGACTTTCTGTATGTTAAGCAGTGGCTTGTACATCCTACAAAATGCTGACTTAAATTGCCACTGACCACACAACGTGTGTTCTACCAATATATTTCCTTGCCAGGCAATTCTTCCTGTATCTAAGGCTGTGTGTCAAAAGTATAGAGAGGCCTACATGGATAGTTGCTTTCATCTGCACTGATTGAAAAGAAATGGCCAAGATAGTAATCCTTTCCCTGGCTTTTACCCATCCAGTCTTTTTTATACTGAACAAAAATATAAAGGCAACATGTAAAGTGTTGGTCCCATGTTTCATGAGCTGAATTAAAAGATCCCAGAAATGTTCCATACGCACAAAAAGCTTTTCTCTCACACATTTAGTGCAGAGATTTGTTTACATCCCTTTAATTTCCCCTTTGCCAAGACAATCCATCCACCTGACAGGTGTGGCATATCAATAAGCTGATTAAATGGCAGGATCATTCACCTGGTGCTGGGGACAATAAAAGGCCACTAAAATGTGCAGATTTGTCACAGAACAATGCCAGTTATGTCTCAAGTTTTGAGGAAGCGTGCAATTGGCATGCTGACTGCAGGAATGTCCACCAGAGCTGTTGCCAGAGAATTTAATGTTCATTTCTCTACCATAAGCCGCCTCCAATGTCGTTTTAGAGAATTTGGCAGTACGTCCAACCGGCCTCACAACCGCAGACCACATGTAACTACGCCAGCCCAAGACCTCCACATCTGGCTTCTTATCCTGCGGGATCGTCCAAGACCAGCCACCCAGACAGCTGATGAAACTGAGGAGTATTTCTGTCTGTAATAAAAACTAATTCTGATTGGCTGGGCCTGGCTCCCCAGTGGGTGGGCCTATGACCTCCAAGCACCACCCATGACTGCGCCCCTGCCCAGTCATGTGAAATCCATAGATTAGGTCCTAATTTATTTATTTAAATTGCCTTATTTCCTTAAATGAACTGTAAATGTTGCGTTTATATTTTTGTTCAGTATAGATTTGTTAAGTAAAGGGGAACGAAACAGGCAAAGGAGGCCACTGAGAAGTATTGAGACACATGAACCTCAACATGCAGGATCAGGGGTCTGGCTGAGAGAGCCTTTCGCTCGGACCATGGTTGTGTTCAGTATGACACGCAGTAGCAAAACATTTAGCAATGGAACACAAAAATCTGTGTTCCTATTGGACAAGTTCAGGTTGTACCTTTCCGTCTCTCTATAAAAAAAATAAAAATCCCTTTACTCTCTGGGTGTTTCTCAATATGTATTCTACCGTGCTCCATACTCATGCTCCAAGTGCATTCTCCGACCACGTTCTCTTGAGTATGTTCTTGTGAGAACGAGTGTGGAGAACGCATAAAACACTACATTTGAGAAGCACTCGCACTCCCCCTACTGTATTACCTCACACTTCACCTCCCCATTCACTGAGCCTTCTTCCAACATATACACAAAGCAAGCGTTTTACTTCATAATTATCAGCTAGGTACAGTGCATTCGGAAAGTATTCAGACCACATCCCTTTTTCCACAATTTGTTACGTTACAGCCTTACTCAAAAATTTATTAAATAAAAAAAATGTACTCAATCTACACACAATACCCTATAATGACGAAGCAAAAACAGGTTTTTTGAATTTTTGTGCAAATTGATTACAAATAAAAAACGGAAATACCTTATTTACAGAAGTATTCAGACCCTTTGCTATGAGACTCGAAATTGAGCTCAGGTGCATCCTGTTTCCATTGAGCATCCTTCAGATGTTTCTACAACTTGGTTGGAGTCCACCTGTGGTAAATTCAATTGACTGGACATGATTTGGAAAGGCACACACCTGTCTATATAAGGTCCCACAGTTGACAGTTAATGTCAGAGCAAAAACCAAGCCATGAGGTTGAAGGAATTGACTGTAGAGCTCCGACACAGGATTGTGTCGAGGGCATTGAAGGTCCCCAAGAACACAGTGGCCTCCATCATTCTTAAATTGAAGAATTTTGGAACCACCAAGACTCTTCCTAGAGCTGGCCGCCTGGCCAAACTGAGCAATCGGGGGAGAAGGGCCTTGGCCAGGGAGGTGACCAATAACCTGATTGTCACTCTGACAGAACTCCAGAGTTCCTCTGTGGAGATGGGAGAACCTTCCAGAAGGACAACCATTTCTGCAGCACTCTACCAATCAGGCCTTTATGGTAGAGTTGCCAGACGGAAGCCACTCCTCAGTAAAAGGCACATAACAGCCCACTTGGAGTTTGTCAAAACACACCTACAGGACTCTCAGACCATGAGAAACAAGATTCTCTGGTCTGATGAAACCAAGATTAAACTCTTTGGCCTGAATGCCTAGCGTTACGTCTGGAGGAAACCTGGCACCATCCCTACTGTGAAGCATGGTGGTGGCAGCATAATCATGCTGTGTGGATGTTTTTCAGCGGCAGGGACTGGGAGACTAGTCAGGATCGAGGGAAAGATGAACGGAGCAAAGTACAGAGAAATTCTTTATGAAAACCTGCTCCAGAGCGCTCAGGACCTCAGACTGGGGTGAAGGTTCACCTTCCAACAGGACAACGACCCTAAGCACACAGCCAAGACAATGCAGCAGTGGCTTAGGGACATGTCTCAATGTCCTTGAGTGGCCCCGCCAGATATCTAAAAACCTGTTTTTGCTTTGTCATTATGGGGTATTGTGTGTAGACTGATGAGGGAAAAAACGATTTAATCCATTTTAGAATAAGGCTGTAACGTAACAAAATGTGGAAAAGGGGAAGGGGTCTGAATACTTTCCGAATGCACTGTATATGAATCGTAATAATGTAGCTAATCAGATAGTTTAACAGGAAAAAATGACCTAAAACTAATATTACGCAAGATAGATTCAATTCTTCTGGCTATCTGGCTAGCTAACAGTACTAGTATCTAGCCCTATTGACTTACTTTGGGCTTGCGATCTACGGTACGTAGGCAGGTAAACATGCCAAAATTAACACAGCATGTATTTATTAACGTATCAAGACATATGAAACGTGAATAGGCAATATTTCATTCCGAAGTCTGAGTTTATTTTCTCTCGCTTAAGCTGAAATAATGGCTGCCATTGATTTCAATATTTTGTATATTTCTTTGAATACTTCCCGTTGAAGCTTGCATCGATGCATGCTTCAAAATATGTACAAACGGAGTACGCATTCGAGAAGTGCCCTCCGTGCTCCGTTTTGCATACTTTGATTTGGACTCATACTCAGACCCTCCTGTGCTCTAATTTGTGTGCTCGGAGCGCAGTAGTGTGCATTTTAAGAAACACCCTCTGTGTGTGTGTGCACTGTATAGCGTGTGCACGTGTGAATGTGTGTAATCGATCAGTCTTTTCTGTCAGATGTGAGAAGACTTTCCTCAGGTCAGGTGTGTTTGTCACTCACCACAGGGATAACATGGGTGACTCCATCTCCGCTGTCGATGACCGTCCCCGTCAGTGTCCTCTCCCCCACCTGTCTGGATGTCCAGGAGGCCGCCAGCGCCAGGACAGCCTTGGGTATAGAGAACACAACGTCAATGTGACACCATTGTAAAGCAACAACATTGAGGTGTACCACATCAGGGTGTCCGTGATGTCATTGACCACATTATTTTGTCTGCTAGATATAGTGTTCCCAGGGATGATGAGGCCATACCTGCACTGCAATGTAGAGCCCTGGGACGTTGAAGGACTCAAACATGATCTCTGCTGTGTACTCTCGGTTCTCTGGTGTATTCAGAGGAGGCTCTGTCTGCAAGAGGACACCACAGTACTGGGAGTTAGACTTCAACACAGACACACTAATCCAACCAGCATCAGATTCATTAACAACCACATCGACCCTCAATTACAGGTAATAGTCTATGCTATGTACCTACAGAAAAGGTCTTAGTTACAATGTATTATAACAGCCTTAGTGTTCCCCCTACATTCATTTATCAGCAGCGGCCAACACTGCAAAAAAAAGAAGGGAAAAAAAGGTATTTATTTGTATTCTGCCGAGACGCGCTTTTAAGATCAGAGTAACAACTTACATCAGACCCTCCGAGAAACCTCCAAGGTAACTAGATAGCGAGCTTGTAATCCTGGAAGTGTAGCCAACCCTATTAATAGATGTATGCCCCAGGAAGACCCAAGGTTTTTAGCCCACTGTTTTAACCGTTTTGTTTCAGTTCCCTCACACTGGGTGTTCCATTTCACTTGGCTCACAGTACTGATATAGTCCTACTTCCTTAAGTGTCTTGGCATTTACGACAGCACTTTTTAATCCAGGGGTGCACAACTCTGGACCTCGAGTTCCGCAGTCCCGTTGGTTTTCGTTTCCCCCATCAGGTTGGAAAGAGAGCCTACCCTCTTTGTGGCAAGTGTGCCCTCTATCCAACTGTATTGTGTCTTTCTATCCCGTAAATGTCCCATTTGGCCCAAGGTCCTCTTACCAACAGGAAGTAGTGGTCCTCAGGCTCCGCCCTCAGGTACTTGAAGATCACCTGCTCCATGAACCTCTCCATCAGGTCCCAGTCCTCCACAATGCCGTGACGGATGGGCCACTGTGGGTGAGAGGTCAAAGGTCAGTCACACTGGCAAACAAAGGGCCTGGTTTCCCGATAGAACTTAGGCTTATGAGTGTTTTAACAATGCATCTTTCTTACAACGGCCGAAGATCTAACATGTGTTTACCAAAACACCACGCAGAGAGAACGTTCGCTAAGTGCGTCGTTGAGGCATGTGTCGATACTGATAGGATCGAAAGAGAGCGGTGTTCTCGGATCAGCTTTCCCAATTCAAATCTTACCTTAACATTCAAATTATTCCACAATACTGACGACGGATCAGGTCCTAAAAATATATCATCCCTGGCTGCAAATATTGAGGTGGGTTATTCTAATGCTTACCCTATAATAATAAATCAAGATTTGGCACATCATTGTTGTTACACATGAAATATATTGAGACAAAATTAAACAGTAGCCTACAATTAGCAAAATATACAGTTGAAGTCGGAAGTTTACATACACCTTAGCCAAATACATTTAAACTCAGTTTTTCACAATTCCTGACATTTAATCGTAGTAAAAATTCCCTGTTTTAGGTCAGTTAGGATCACCACTTTATTTTAAGAATGTGAAATGTCAGAATAATAGTAGAGAGAATGATTTATTTCAGCTTTTATTTATTTCATCACATTCCCAGTGGGTCAGAAGTTTACATACACTCAATTAGTATTTGGTAGCATTGCCTTTAAATTGTTTAACTTGGGTCAAACGTTTCGGGTAGCCTTCCCCAAGCTTCCCACAATAAGTTGGGTTAATTTTGGCCCATTCCTCCTGACAGAGCTGGTGTAACTAAGTCAGGTTTGTAGGCCTCCTTGCTCGCCCACGCTTTTTCAGATCTGCCCACAAATGTTCTATAGGATTGAGGTCAGGGCTTTGTGATGGCCACTCCAATACCTTGACTTTGTTGTCCTTAAGCCATTTTGCCACAACTTTGGAAGTATGCTTGGGGTCATTGTTAATTTGGAAGACCCATTTGCGACCAAGCTTTAACTTCCTGACTGATGTCTTGAGATGCTGCTTCAATATATCCACATAATTTTCCTTCCTCATGATGCCATCTATTTTGTGAAGTGCATCAGTCCCTCCTGCAGCAAAGCACCCCCACAACATGATGCTGGCACCCCCGTGCTTCACAGTTGGGATGGTGTTCTTCGGCTTGCAAGCCTTCCCCTTTTTCCTCCAAATATAACGATGGTCATTATGGCCAAACAGTTCTATTTTTGTTTCATCAGACCAGAGGACATTTCTCCAAAAAGTACGATCTTCGTCCCCATGTGCAGTTGCCACTGCTCCAAAACCCCATAAAAAAGCCAGACTACAGTTTGCTTCTTCCTTGCTGAGCGGCCTTTCAGATTATGTCGATATTGGACTCGTTTTACTGTGGATATAGATACTTTTGTACATGTTTCCTCCAACATCTTCACTAGGTCCTTTGCTGTTGTTCTGGGATTGATTTGCACTTTTCGCACCAAAGTACATTAATCTCTAGGAGACAGAACGCGTCTCCTTCCTGAACGGTATGACGGCTGCGTGGTTCCATGGTGTTTATACTTGCGTACTATTGTTTGTACAGATGAACGTGGTACCTTCAGGCGTTTGGAAATTGCTCCCAAGGACGAACCAGACTTGTGGAGGTCTACAAAAAAAAATTCTGAGGTCTTGGCTGATTTCTTTTGTACATCCACAGGTCCACCTCCAATTGACTCAAATTATGTCAATTAGCCTATCAGAAGTTTCTAAAGCCATGACATAATTTTCTGGAATTTTTCAAGCTGTTTAAAGGCACAGTCAATTTAGTGTATGTAAACTTCTGACCCACTGGAATTGTGATACAGTGAATTATAAGTGAAATAATCTGTCTAAACAATTGTTGGAAAAATTACTTGTGTCATGCACAAAGTAGATGTCCTAACCGACTTGCCAAAACTATAGTTTGTTAACAAGAAATGTGTGGAGTGGTTGAAAAACTAGTTTTAATGACTCCAACCTAAGTGTATGTAAACTTCCGACTTCAACTGTAACTCAATTGAATGATTGATTTGAATATTAATGAATTATACAGGCCTATGTATCCTATAATGTAGTATATTTATCTTTTAATGCAGTCATCTCGGTTTTCATTTGAAACATATTTTGATCCTTCTCTTGTTTTTAACAATTGCAAAGACATTGGCAACTTTGTACTCATAGTTAACTTCTTTGTGAAGCTATCGGTGGTCACAGAGAGACAGATAAACATTTGATTCTATGTTTAGTGGATCTCTTCTGTGTATAAAGTGACGCGGTAGGGGAAAAAACGCATCTAACGACGCACTTAGCTGTTAGAGAGGTCTGAGGCAGTCGGTAAATAAGTATTTTCAATTGCAACATTAGTAACGATGGTTTTGGGAAACAGCTCAGAGATTTAACGATGCTCCTACGAAGATTCTAACTATGAACGCAGCCTTAAGATGCTTTTGGGAAACTGGGCCCTGTCTAGTAAATTACTTAGTGACTAAGTACACCAACATACATTTTAGTCCATGGTTGAATGACACTTCAAGTACAAGACCATACAATGAGTAGGCCTACATGGCCTAGCAGCACATCATGTGCACTAACAAACATTCAGTGCATTGCTTGGTGAAACATAGTAGTGACAAATAGTAATGTGAAATGAGAGTGACTGGCTGTTGACAGATGCCTCTCTGGTGCAGTATACTGGTTTCCGTATTTCCTTGGAATAGGAATCTTTGAAATGCACAGTATGCAAGTTCTCACATGACAACTTGTAGGCCATTTATCATGTTCAATTGGTGGGTTTGTGCATTGTATTGGTCACACACAAATGGCACTTTAGGGCTGTCATGTTTGGCATTGGGCAGGTTTGCTTGTAGTATATGCGAGTTTAAATATACTGTATTTGGTGGTCCTGTAGCCTTTTTGAGCCAACGGGTTTGGTACCTTTGTGGCATAATTGGGCTTGTCTATCCCCTCGTCTCCGATGAAGAAGTCCAGGTCGTCCACCCCCTTGACCGTCCTTGATCCAACCTTGGCCGACTCTTTGATTGCAATACCTGGTAGGGAGGAGAGAGACCAATGGAGGGAGAAAGAAAGAGAAAGACAAAAAGAGAGAGCGAGAGAGAGAGAAAGAGAGAATCAAGTAGACTAAGGCCGTGTTTGATGAAAGGTCTTAAGACATAAATCCAGTCGAACACCAAGTGCAAGAGTGACCTATGCCTTCACTGTTCACTATCCAGCCTTGTATTTCCAAAGCATGGCCCCAAAGAGTTCTAAAATAGAAAAACAGGCTTGAAAACACTTTCAGCATCAATAATATCAGATCATTACCTAGACTCTTTGAAACCGTGTTAGGGCTCTGCTTATTAAAATTACTTTTGTCTAGGCAACAGTTAGGCCTATCGTCAATGTGAGGCGAATCGTCTGGACACATATACCCACATGATGGAACAATGAACTGTGGCTCTGTGTTCCCTGCATACCCCAGCTTAGTGTATCTGAAAGAGAGAAGGCACACCATTAGATTGAACAACACTTGCTCGCATTTTCTTTGTATGGTGACACTTTATAAAAGGAGAAACAATTAAAAATCGATTAGCAGGCATAGCCTATATTTTGGTTTGGCCTAGCTTCTGTGATTTTTATCAATACAACCCCTGTTCTTCCATGGATCAGTCTAGTGCCAACAACTGCAGCTCAACTCTGAATAGCCTACCCTTCAATAGGAAGAGTGTAAAAGGGCATTTGGAATCTAAGGGGTTATTCATACATTTTCCCAAATCCACAACTTGAGTATAAATCTTAGCAAATCATCATCCTACCACTGGTCTGAGTGCCAGCAGTGTTGCAATTAAGGTTCACTTACACTCGGCTAATGCCTTATCGCAGAACGATAAGCTGCATACACAACAGTTAACTTTGTGTTTACTGTGAATGCGTAGCCTAGAAAACTCAGCCCAAGAGAGCTCAGCATAGTTGAGACAAAGGCTACTACCATAAGGATATGAGACACATCGTCTGAGATGCTTTTCAATACCATTGTTTCAGTGCAGTATGTTAGCCTATAGAAAGTAGGCCAAGTTGCTTTTAAGTCCTATTTTAACAGCATTGTAAATATAGCAAGGCCTACCCAATGAGTGAGGAATAACAGAGCCTGTAAGGATTAACATTTTAGCAGGTGCACGTGGAAGACACAAAAACATAGCCTTGGGGCTTCATTCCACAGAACAGTCCTAGCTTGTCTGGGGCAGCTACCTGCCTCAACAAGCCTGTTGCACTACACTCTTAGCAGTGGACATAACCACAGGAGTGCTCAAATCCAAATCGACCCTCTAGCGAGCAAGCCCCTCCTCACTGAGAGGATTGGATAGGTATAGCCTACAAGATATGACAATGCTTAGGCAACACCCATCCAATCTTCTTAGAAATAGGCCAACGGAAGTGCCTAAAATGGAGGGTAGGAGATAGAGGTCAATTTGGGATTGGGCATTAGGCCTAGGCAAGGCCTGAAATTTAAGCTAGGCTACCTTATTACGGTGTTTGATGAAAGACCACAACGTGACTCAAGGCCTGGTATAGGCCAAGTTTGAATAATGATAATGGCCTTACTGTGTGAAATCAAACTGTTTGCTGAGCATGATAAGCAAATGCCGACTCCACCCTAGCCCCAGGTACTAGACTTAGCTGCAAGCCTGGCCTGCAACACCTGCATTTGAAACATTTGTTTAGACCAAGAACAGACCCCTGCAAAAGAAAACATACAGTAGCCTACATAAAACAGTGGCTCTTCACAGACCTCCCAACACAACTGTTATAGAGAAGTGGACAAAATAAGCCCCATAATAACTCTGCTGCTCCATTTCACTGTTGAGTTCTAAGAATAGCGGCCCACTTGTGCATGAGGTAAGAGGATGTGGAGTTCTGTTCAAATATTTTGGCTGTTGTGAGCATGACTCATGAGCTGTGTGGTGGTGTTGCCTACTCAACCAGACTTCTGCTGGCCTGGTAATTTAGCATCTTGGCCTTCTCAGCAGTTTCAAACATCTGCTCTACAAAGGAGTTAGCATCATTTTCCATCCTCAGCTGTAGTTTTCAAGTCCTCTTCCCCAGTGTGGACCAGATGCACTAGCCTAACTAATAGCCCAAAGGGAGTGGGGAAGATAAGTGGAGAGGTATGCAAGGAAACATGAGTGATAACCCCAACTATAGTATTAAACATAAATCCCTGTCATTTCAAATAATCTAAGTCTCTAGGTCTAGGCTATATCAAATGCCTACATTAGATAACGCTCCTTAGATTAAAACGTGTGCATAAATAGACAGTAAGTAGGCCTAACGATTAGGGCTGGGAATTGCCAGGGACATCACGATAAGATATCACGATACTTAGGTGGCAATACGATATGTATTGTGATTCTCATGATTCTATATGCATTGCGATTCGATACTGTGATTTTATTGCGATTCGAGTTTTGGTGCAGGTATAGCTGACTAGCGCAAAAATAATATAGCGATATTGTCAAAACTATATATCGTAAAAAATAATCATATTCCCCCCATCACTAGTAACAGAATGCAAAAAACATTATTGTGTCTGAATTGCATTAAACAAAGTGATTATTTGCTAAAACAAGTTGCAGGCAACTAGAATTCTGTGGTGAATTACACTGTTCAATAATGAGGGATTAGCCTAGGTCCAACTGTTATTAATTCACTGGCTTTTAATTGATCTTGGGACCTGCAATCAGTATATTGGCATTCACAATATTTAGAGATTATAAAAAAGGATGGGCATGAAGCAGAAGTATGCACAATCAAAACAAAGTGTTGTAGAACTGTGAAGTCACCCAAATGAAAATCCTCGTGCTTTTCTATAGAATACAAATCAGTCTTTGTTATTCAGAAAATATTCATGTATATTTTCATTTGAGATGGTAAAGGTCCGGCTAAATTGAAGAAATTAGAATAGTATGCTAATAGAAAGAAAACATGTTCTGATGCCGAAAACGACCATATATGGACTAAAAAACGTGAATGAGGAAGTCGACAATGTAGGAAGTCGCTCTGCGCGTGCTCAAAGCCGGGCATCACTAGTGAGCAAACACTGTAAAATTACTTATGAAATGAATACCATTACAAAATTTAACTTTACAATAAACATGGAAAGTCCCTTTATACTGTCCACTCAAAGTATTTCCGAAATGCAATATATTAGATCCCCAGCAATGAAGCACAGTCAAATAGATTGGGTGGATTTTTTGTATTGAAAAAGCCTTTCCAACAGGAAGAAAACATTTTCTGATGATGAAAGCAAATAGCAGGCTTATTGCTAAAACAGCAGGCTTATAGCTAGCCATCTAGCGAATACAGCAGACATTTATGTTTAAGGCAAGTGCTGTTAAACAGCAGTACAATAACAGCCTAACAAAACGATTAAAACACGTTAGTTTTGTCAATGAATGGCCATGAAAGGTTACATTGATTGAATTTATTAGCAAACTATAGCTAGCACACACACCCAGTTGCTGACAGCGATGGGCTCGGTGACACCCAAAATCTCGGTGCGCTGTCTGCAAGGCGGTCTAGTTTGAATAGCTTACCCTGTACCGCAGTCGACAACACACGCCGGTAATCGTCCTGCCATCTCGTGTGCTTCTGGTAATCACAAATGTTTTCTGTTAATCGATAGCTGTCTGTGTCGGGTGGAGGATCTTGCAAACCGTCCACAGGCGGAAACCTGAACCCGCACAAGTACTGTTTCTAACGTTACTTCCGTACTCGGTCTAGGGCAGGCAAGATGGCTGACGCCGGGGAGCGCTTGAGCGAAGCAGGCAGAGGCAGTTTCACAGCTGTCAATCACAATAGCCCCTGAGAGCAAAGCATCAACACACTGCCAGGGGAATAAAACGTGACACAATAGGTGGTTGTGCCGAAATCAAATCTATCTAATTGTATTACATCTAATAAAATAATAGAATGCTGCAATAGTCAATATTGGCCTAGGGCACATCAATTTAAATAGACAAATTATCTGGACCAGGATTGAGATCAAATCCAGAATGAGTTTTACAGTGCTACACAATTAACATATTGCATTATTTTAATTATATTTATTTTGTATTAATTAGGGGGTAGATCAGCTTTAATATTGCAGATAAATTGTAACTTCCATCAGTGTAATTGTCTGCATTACTTCCAATCCCCCATATGTTTTTTCCTGCAAATAAATAAATAACACACATATATATATTATATATATATATATATATATAAATAGTATTTGACAATTTAAAGGGACCATCAGTCCTGTGTTCCAATGGCACGTTGTGTTTGCTAATCCAAGTTTATCATTTTAAAAGGCTAATTGATCATTAGAAAACCCTTTGTTGCGAAATAGGAAGCCAATTCTGGATTTAACTTTGGATTGGAGATTCTTAATGTGAGTCTGGAAGGAGAGTTTACAGTCTAACCAGACACCTAGGTATTTGTAGTTGTCCACATACTCTAGGTCAGACCCGCCGAGAGTAGTGATTCTAGTCGGGTGGGCGGGCGCCAGCAGCGTTCGATTGAAGAGCATGCATTTAGTTTTACTAGTGTTTAAGAGCAGTTGGAGGCTACTGAAGGAGTGTTGTATGGCATTGAAGCTCGTTTGGAGGTTTGTTAACACAGTGTCAAATGAAGGGCCAGATGTATACAAAATGGTGTCGTCTGCGTAGAGGTGGATCTGGGAGTCACCAGCAGCAAGAGCGACATCATTGATATACACGGAGAAAAGAGTCGGCCCAAGAATTGAACCCTGTGGCACCCCCATAAAGACTGCCATAGGTCCAGACAACAGGCCCTCCGATTTGACACATTGAACTCTATCTGAGAAGTAGTTGGTGAACCAGGCGAGGCAGTCATTTGAGAAACCAAGGCTATTTAGTCTGCAAATAAGAATGCGGTGGTTGACAGAGTCGAAAGCCTTGGCCAGGTCGATGAAGACGGCTGCACAGTACTGTCTATTATCGATCGCGGTTATAATATCAATGATGATCAATTAGCCTTTTAAAATGATAAACTTGGATTAGCAAACACAACGTGCCATTGGAACACAGGACTGATGGTTGCTGATAATGGGCCTCTGTATGCCTATGTAGATATTCCATTAAAAATCAGCCGTTTCCAGCTACAATAGCCATTTACAACATTAACAATGTCAACACTGTATTTCTGATCAATTTGATGTTATTTTAATGGACCAACAAAATGCTTTTCTTTTGAAAACATGGACATTTCCAAGTTACCCCAAACTTTTGAACGGTAGTATATATATACAATGGGGAAATAAAGTATTAAGTCAGCCACCAATTGTGCAAGTTAGGCCTTTCCATCATAGGTACACGTCAACTATGACAGACAAATTGAGATTTTTTTTCTCCAGAAAATCACATTGTAGGATTTTTAATGAATTTATTTGCAAATTATGGTGGAAAATAAGTATTTGGTCACCTACAAACAAGCAAGATTTCTGGCTCTCACAGACCTGTAACTTCTTCTTTAAGAGGCTCCTCTGTCCTCCACTCGTTACCTGTATTAATGGCACCTGTTTGAACTTGTTATCAGTATAAAAGACACCTGTCCACAACCTCAAACAGTCACACTCCAAACTCCACTATGGCCAAGACCAAAGAGCTGTCAAAGGACACCAGAAACAAAATTGTAGACCTGCACCAGGCTGGGAAGACTGAATCTGCAATAGGTAAGCAGCTTGGTTTGAAGAAATCAACTGTGGGAGCAATTATTAGTAAATGGAAGACATAATCTCCCTCGATCTGGGGCTCCACGCAAGATCTCACCCCGTGGGGTCAAAATGATCACAAGAACGGTGAGCAAAAATCCCAGAACCACACGGGGGGACCTAGTGAATGACCTGCAGAGAGCTGGGACCAAAGTAACAAAGCCTACCATCAGTAACACACATCGCAACCAGGGACTCAAATTCTGCAGTGCCAGACGTGTCCCCCTGCTTAAGCCAGTACATGTCCAGGCCCGTCTGAAGTTTGCTAGAGTGCATTTGGATGATCCAGAAGATGATTGGGAGAATGTCATATGGTCAGATGAAACCAAAATATAACTTTTTGGTAAAAACTCAACTTGTTGTGTTTGGAGACAAAGAATGCTGAGTTGCATCCAAAGAACACCATACCTACTGTGAAGCATGGGGGTGGAAACATCATGCTTTGGGGCTGTTTTTCTGCAAAGGGACCAGGACGACTGATCCGTGTAAAGGAAAGAATGAATGGGGCCATGTATTGTGAGATTTTGAGTGAAAACCTCCTTCCATCAGCAAGGGCATTGAAGATGAAACGTGGCTGGGTCTTTCAGCATGACAATGATCCCAAACACACCGCCCGGGCAACGAAGGAGTGGCTTCGTAAGAAGCATTAAGGTCCTGGAGTGGCCTAGCCAGTCTCCAGATCTCAACCCCATAGAGAATCTTTGGAGGGAGTTGAAAGTCCGTGTTGCCCAGCGACAGCCCCAAAACATCACTGCTCTAGAGGAGATCTGCATGGAGGAATGGGCCAAAATACCAGCAACAGTGTGTGAAAACCTTGTGAAGACTTACAGAAAACGTTTGACCTGTGTCATTGCCAACAAAGGGTATATAATAAAGTATTGAGAAACTTTTGTTATTGACCAAATACTTATTTTCCACCATAATTTGCAAATAAATTCATTAAAAATCCTACAATGTGATTTTCTGAATTTCTTTTTCTCATTTTGTCTGTCATAGTTGACGTGTACCTATGATGACAATTACAGGCCTCTCTCATCTTTTTAAGTGGGAGAATTTGCACAATTGGTGGCTGACTAAATACTTTTTTCCCCCACTGTATATATATACACTGCTCAAAAAAATAAAGGGAACACTTAAACAACACAATGTAACTCCAAGTCAATCACACTTCTGTGAAATCAAACTGTCCACTTAGGAAGCAACACTGATTGACAATAAATGTCACATGCTGTTGTGCAAATGGAATAGACAACAGGTGGAAATTATAGGCAATTAGCAGGACCCCCAATAAAGGACTGGTTTTGCAGGTGGTGACCACAGACCACTTCTCAGTTCCTATGCTTCCTGGCTGATGTTTTGGTCACTTTTGAATGCTGGCGGTGCTTTCACTCTGCGAGCTGTGGCAAGAAGGTTTGCTGTGTCTGTCAGCGTAGTGTCCAGAGCATGGAGGCGCTACCAGGAGACAGGCCATTACATCAGGAGATGTGGAGGAGGCCGTAGGAGGGCAACAACCCAGCAGCAGGACTGCTACCTCCGCCTTTGTGCAAGGAGGAGCAGGAGGAGCACTGCCAGAGCCCTGCAAAATGACCTCCAGCAGGCCACAAATGTGCATGTGTCTGCTCAAACGGTCAGAAACAGACTCCATGAGGGTGGTATGAGGGCCCGACGTCCACAGGTGGGGGTTGTGCTTAGAGCCCAACACCGTGCAGGACGTTTGGCATTTGCCAGAGAACACCAAGATTGGCATATTCGCCACTGGCGCCCTGTGCTCTTCACAGATGAAAGCAGGTTCACACTGAGCACATGTGACAGACGTGACAGAGTCTGGAGACGCCGTGGAGAACGTTCTGCTGCCTGCAACATCCTCCAGCATGACCGGTTTGGCGGTGGGTCAGTCATGGTGTGGGGTGGCATTTCTTTGGGTGGCCGCACAGCCCTCCATGTGCTCGCCAGAGGTAGCCTGACTGCCATTAGGTACCGAGATGAGATCCTCAGACCCCTTGTGAGACCATATGCTGGTGCGGTTGGCCCTGGGTTCCTCCTAATGCAAGACAATGCTAGACCACATGTGGCTGGAGTGTGTCAGCAGTTCCTGCAAGAGGAAGGCATTGATGCTATGGACTGGCCCGCCCCTTCCCCAGACCTGAATCCAATTGAGCACATCTGGGACATCATGTCTCGCTCCATCCACCAACCACAGACTGTCCAGGAGTTGGCGGATGCTTTAGTCCAGATCTGGGAGGAGATCCCTCAGGAGACCATCCGCCACCTCATCAGGAGCATGCCCAGGCGTTGTAGGGAGGTCATACAGGCACGTGGAGGCCACACACACTACTGAGCCTCATTTTGACTTGTTTTAAGGACATTACATCAAAGTTGGATCAGCCTGTAGTGTGGTTTTCCACTTTAATTTTGAGGGTGACTCCAAATCCAGACCTCCATGGGTTGATAAATTTGATTTCCATTGATAATTTTTGTGTGATTTTGTTGTCAGCACATTCAACTATGTAAAGAAAAAAGTATTTAATAAGATTATTTAATTCATTCAGATCTAGGATGTGTTATTTTAGTGTTCCCAAATTTTTTTTGAACAGTGTATATATACACACACACACAGTTGAAGTCGGAAGTTTACATACACTTAGGTTGGAGTCAATAAAACTCGTTTTTCAACCACTCCACAAATCTCTTGTTAACAAACTATAGTTTTGGCAAGTTGGTTAGGACATCTACTTTGTGCATGACACAAGTAATTTTTCCAACAATTGTTTACAGACAGATTATTAAACTTATAATTCACTTTATCACAATTCCAGTGTGTCAGAAGTTAACATACACTAAGTTGACTGTGCCTTTAAACAGCTTGGAAAACTCCAGAAAATGATGTCATGGCTTTAGAAGCTCTGATAGGCTAATTGACATCATTTGAGTCAATTGGAGGTGTACATGTGGATGTATTTCAAGGCCTACCTTCAAACTCAGTGCCTCTTTGCTTGACATCATGGGAA